GCAGCAGATTTTCAACAGTTTGCGGGGGTATATTTTCAACAGCTTGCAGGGGCATATTTGCAACAGTTAGCGGGAGTTGCTGGCCTTTTGCAAAGAATTGCTGTGTTGTAGGCGACCATTGGCCTGATGATTGTCCTCCACCCTGTTGGCCCACTTGGTTTTCTACATCCAGGTTCTGCAGCAGATTTTCAACAGTTTGCGGGGGTAAATTTTCAACAGCTTGCAGGGGCATATTTGCAACAGTTAGCGGGAGTTGCTGGCCTTCTGCAAAGAATTGCTGTGTTGTAGGCGACAATTGGCCTGATGATTGTCCTCCACCCTGTTGGCCCACTTGGTTTTCTACATCCAGGTTCTGCTGTATATTTTCAACAGCTTGCAGGGGCATATTTGCAACAGTTAGCGGGAGTTGCTGGCCTTCATCCTGTAGCCCCACTCGGTCTCCTCCATACAGGTGCTGTGTACCACCAGAAGATTCTCCTCCACCCTGTTGGCCCACTTGGTCTGTTCCAACCCATGATCCTCCTCCACCCCCCAGCCTTCCTATTTCAAAGTCCTTTTTCTGAAGTAGATACTTCATGTGGTTAAGTTCTTCTCTCTGTAGTGCAACATCACTCCTCATATGTGCAACTTCTCGCCTGTGATTTTCTTCCAGGTCCTCAATGCTTGCCTTCGTATTTTCTAGTTGCTTTTCAAGCTCACAAACATAATTCTCTTTCCCCATAATTGAAATATAATGCATAGAATCTGCATAAAGCCTGTCCACCTCATTTTGTCTCTCTTCTTCAGTTTTGAGGGCATTGATTATGTCAACTATCTTCGCGACTCCAAATATTTTTTTGATTTTATCGAATTTTGTACGTTCTTCTGCCGGCAGATGAGGTTTAAACAGACAATTGGCAACACATGTCTGCCTCTTGTAAGTACACACACAACACTTAACCATCCCTGTTAAACCAAAAAAAAAAATCAACAATGTCATAACAAATCCTCAACGCGGCAGTTTTACACTAGTGTGTGTTTATATGCAATGCAGTGTGTGTTGCTTAACAAATTTACTAGTGCATAACATGGGATAACAAATTCCACATGCTATCTTAGTTTAAATTTAAGTCAACAATCTACTCTCTCTACTCAGCTGAGATCTAATCAAAGTAAATTATAATTTACAAAAGAATTTCACTCAAATTAATAACCAAACAACCACGCAATTGAAATAAGAAAATAAAAAATTACCGAATATACCATCACAAAAGTCGATTATTGGCGCATGAAGAAGCACACAAATTTAAATTCAGTTCGATTCAGCAGACAAAAAAGATAAAGGAGGGGCAATAATTAGAATGGAGAGGGTGGGGGTGGGGGGACCTCTTGGGGTCATGTCATTTTCACAGCAGGTAGTGACAGAGCCAGCTTACATTCAATGGAACTGGTGTGTATGCAGGCCATTAGATGGATGATTTTGGTGGTCCTCTTAATGCATGTATATATCATCCTCAAATTTCCTCCTACATCCATCCAATTCTTGAATGTTTTGAAGTAACAAGTTCATGTTGATCAAGACATTTGGGCAAAATGATCCATTGACAATCTGTCATGAACACTTTAATGCTCATCATAATCTTGATTCTTCACCACTTGCAATGTTTTATCCTCACAACTTGTGCAAGAAAAACACACACACATCCATAAAATGAGAATGCTGCAACGAATGAATGAAAAGCGGAAAAAGAAAAAAAAAAATAATAATGGTAGTAGTACTAGAAATTAGTGCATCTGCAAGAATTTTCAAGGGGGAGTGCCATATTGAATGCAACATTCTCATCAGCATATATTGTTGTTAGCTTTAGCTGTACTATGCATAGACATTTAGAGGGCAAGCCAAAATGTGAACAAAACAATATAGTTCAATGGTTTCCTAACCTTAACCAAATTTTCAAACAGCCATTGATACATGGGAAGTGCTGAAAAATATAACAGGAGCATCAAAGTATATGAAGGACTGGTATTCGTGAAATTGTGTTGGTGTTGCATCGAAGTAAATGAATAAATAACCATAGAAACATGCTTTGAACTTGAATGCTTCATAGTAATGAATATCATACCTAATATATGGGTACCATCGTAAAAGTAGATGATCATAAAGAGAATAATACAACTAGAGTATGAATTAGCGGCCATTTGTACCATGTTTTATGCATATATTCCCCCTCCCACATATTTAGTTATGAAGACTGTTTGCATCAAATTGTTTATCCTGCAACTATATCAGATAAGCAGCGAACATAAAAGAGAAGGCGAGAGAGAAGGTAAATAGCAGGGTAGTGAGTTGTGAGAGATTGGTATGAAGCAGAAAATGAAGAAAATGAGTTGTGAGAGATAGGTATGAAGCTGGAAATGGAAATTCCAAGAAAGTGAAGAAAATGGACTGAGAGAGAAAGAAGGAGATGAAGATGAAAATTGCAAATTGCAAATTGCCAAGAAAGTGAAGAAATGAACCTCACCAACAACATAAAACTCTACTTAATTTGGTCCAAACCCTACCACAACCCACCGACCATTGATACCACCACTTCAATAACACCAAATCATAGACAACCCCAGCGACCATAGTCGCAGACACCACCACCACCACAACTCCAAACCCTAAATAATTTTGCCTAAACAAAGGCCGTTCCACCACAACAACCTCCGCAATCAAAGCCTTCAACAAAACCAAACCCTAGAAAAACCGAGCGACCATAGTCGCCGCCGCCACCACCAAAAAGATACCAAACCCTAAATAATATTGTCAAACAACGTTCGGACCACCGCAATAACCTCCGATATCAATGCCGCCATTATCAAACACATAAAATACAATGTTCAATTTCAAAAACAAACTACATACCTAGAAGAAGAAATGTCACACGAAGAAAGAAAGAAGAAATGTCGACGATCTCGAACGGAACGGAGACGCTGTTAACAAATCAAAATCTCAATCACAAAAAAAATATATATATAGATATATATATATATATATACCGATTACAACGAGGAATCAATAGTAAAGTGTTGAATAATCAAATTTAAACCTTACTCGTTGATTCGAACGCCTTGGAGTAAAGAGTGACTCTCGGCTGAAAATGGGCCAGAGCTTTTATGTGAAAGGGGAAAATTGAAAACTAGGGCTAATGAGGGTAAGCTATTTATTTGATTTATGCCCCTCATCTTCACAAATGCAGCCGATGCTTGGTTTCTCTCTCCTTCACCTGGTTTGTTTACCTGGTTCTAAGAAACTTGGCGCCTAAATGCGTTTTTATTTTATTTATTTAAAAATATATATATATAATAGGAAAGATCGGGTTTGAAATAGGCCCAAAGAGGGTGTAACCAAAAATGACAGACGCCCTTCTTGTACAGGAGCCCAATTTGAATTATTATTATTATTATTATTTTTTCCAAATGGAACTCTAATAAGTTGAAATATGTTATTTTTTACTTTAGGAACACGATAAACTTTGGACACTTTCACTATATTTTGTAATTTTTTCATATACAAATATATTTAAAATATATTATTGGTTATTAGAAACCTAATATAAAATCTAAGAAAATAATAAAAACAAAAATTAGCTCTAAATTCTAAATTAGTGATTTAAAAAACAATTATATTATTATCTTTTAATGTATTTCTGATATACTTGTATTCTACTTTTTTTAATTAGTTGTATAATCGTGTGTATCGTATCGTACCCATGTCCAATATCTTTGTTTATCCTTACTTCATTGTAATTGTAAATATACATGGGTTTACATTGGCAGGTTCTATTCATTAGCCAATTTGATAAATGTGTTTTTTTTTTTAAGATTTTTTTTAATCATATCATGAATAACAAAAATACCGAATACTTGTTCATTATTGGGACATATTTCCTACAATTATTTAATTACAGTATTTCATTATAAAACTACTTTGTAATATATATATATATAGATATAGATATATATTAGTACGAGTCATGATCTCTTCATAACCAATATTTTCCAACAAAATCGATTATTTGAACCATGATCACGACTACAATTAGCGAAAAACAATGTTTGGAAGCGACTATTCATGAACCAATACGAAACTCATTAGTTGGAAACTTGAAATCATTCTTCTCTCATTGCGTATTTGAGAAAATATGTTGTACAAACTTATTTGGTTCAATTTTCAAAGAATTGAAAATGAGAAAATTATACAAAAATCGGGTCTTTCTTGGTTTGCCACTCCCAATATAATTTATAAAAATTCTTTTCAAAAAATTAGAACAAAAACTAATTTTTAATTTTTTCAGTTTGAAAATCCACTTGGTTAATAAAACTACAAAACAGTTTTCAGAAAACAAAAAGCTCATAAATATGCTTAGTTGTGTATCAAAAATAAGTATTTTGAACTAAGAAAATAAAGAATAATGCACTACACTTAATTATTTATTTCTTACATTTATTTACAAGTATTAGATGTGCACTACTTTTAAAATATTTCTAAATTAACAAAAATTGTAAATACAATATCACAAGTCAATGAGGCTTATTCACCCTTTTTCTAATTGAAAAATGAATAAATTTGAGGACCTCTTACAAATTCTCAACTGTATTCTTAACTTTTGAATTCTATAGAACATAGGCTTGAAAAACTAACAAATCTACTGACATTTTTAAATGTTCTCACAACATTGCCAAATAAAGATGAAAAAAAGTCTTTACAGACACCTACTATTGAGGATGCAATAGGACAATATTATTCTTCACAAACGTCCTTCCTGGACTACAAGAAAATTTTACTGGGACACGAGTTAAAATCAATTTGAGAAGAAGATGAAAAATCTCCATAGAATTTCTTTTTTTTTTTTAATACTTTTTTCACCACAAATCAATACTAGTATTATTATTCAAAAACAGAAGCCATACAGTTAATTGCAATTACAAGCCAAGAAGGCCGGCCATACATCAATATCAGAATCACAAGAAGGCCATACATCAATACTAGTATTATTATTCAAAAATAGAAGCCATACTACAGTCAGAGTTAATTGCAATCACCAGCCAAGAAGGGCCATACATCAATATCAGAATCACAAGACTTTTGTGCCATTGTATTGTGAGCTTTAGAAGTACATTTAAGTTGGAAGTCTACTCCATGTTGCAGACAAAGCAGAGCCGTCTTCTAATGCCGCTAGCCATAAAACTGTCAGCCAATGCAAACTCGTAACAGATTGGTCATCTCCTTCCACTACTACCTTTGGGTACCCCCAATTATGAAGAAATTTCAGACCTTCTTTGAGAACCAAAGCCTCTGTAACACCTTGCGTTTGCAACCTGGTAGCCACTCTAATAGCTTAATCACCGGTGAGAAGTTTTTAAATGCAACGAAAATATTTAAACCAACCATGACCAACCAACAACAATAGGCTGTAAAGAAGAATTTTGAAGAAAAGTTTTGGGATCTATAACCACCACAGCTTCCTTAAATTTGTCAAAATTTGACACAGCTCGATTTAAGAATAACTGGGAATCCATTTAGTACAATTATATACCCAATTGTGTCTGCTTTTCCACAATTACCAGCAATTAATTCATTTCCAACAAATATAGAAACAATGCATGCAGGTTTAAATGAATTAGCACAATCATAAGGACTGTCACTAACATATCATTTATTAAAAAGACTGTTATCAAGAATAAATTAAACCAAACAAGCTCAATTTAGCTAAGAAGCCCTCTAGGTGAAGAATAGACAATTAAAAGTAAATCACTAATCCTAGTACCTGTAGAGTATTGGCTATTCCCACTTGCACACCTAATCAAGATATTGTTTATAACATTATACACTAACCATAAGGTGTGTTACTATGCAAATGTGAACAATGAAGTTCAGATATGAAATATTTGACAGCTAATCTCTGTATCAAGAAACCAAGAAACTTTAGGTCTAATTTACTGGTTTGATTTGTAAGAGACTTTCATGTGGTTTAGAGGTTTGAGTCAATTATACCTAATCAAGCATAAAGAAAAAATAATAAATAAATACAAACCCTCTTGGAGATTCCTTTTTTTAATTTGACATAATAATTTGAACTAAGCAACTATCTATCTATCCAAATGTGTCATGCATTCTTCCTTGCATTTAGGGATAAAATATAAAATTCATACTCTTTAACAAACATTGAATTTAAATGTCCTGCATTCTTCCTTGTATGAAATGTGGAATCCTAGAAGAGGGTGTAAAAATGATTATAAAGGAAATGAGGCAGAAGGTTAAACCCAATCTACTTTATCAATATGTCTAGGATCCCTTAAATTTTCTACTTTTTATTTCACCCCCACAGAGCTCTTTGTTAAACATTTTACAGTTTCCAAAATTCTATATATATATATATATATATATATATATATATACATATATATCCCTCTCTATTCTTTCCTTTCACAAGTAACACAAAATCCTGATCTAAGAATAATCAGAATTCACTCCAACATTTTTTATGACATACCCATATATCCTGTTTAAGCGTTCATTAAACAGGAATTTTATCATTGCAGTCCAATTAAATTTCACAAGCGAGCTAGTTAGCTCCCTTTGAGGAATTTTATCACTCATTTTAAAAGCAATTCTATAAACAGGAAGCTATCAGCAATGAAAAATATACCTTTATATTAGGGTTCGCAGCAACAATGACCCCATCCTCTTCATAGACATAGCATAACATTTCCTTCATTTCCCTCAAATAAACAAAAACTCCAATCAACTAAGCTGATAATAGCGAAAAGATTGAAAGTAGAACAAAAGAGAGACGGAGAGAGGGACCGATTGTTTTACCTGAACAGGGAGAGATCAAGTCGATAGTGAGTCCAAGACTAGAGAGAAAGTGCAACTGAAACGAGATCTGAACAAATTTATTGAGATCTGATCATATTGCAGAGAAAAAGAGGGCTCTTCATCTGTGGGATTAAAATAGATAGATAGCTGCCAAATAAGCGTAAGAAGGAGAAGTGTTATAAACGACATGGTCTTCTCCGTATCTTTTTAATGACGGATAGTTCTCCGTGTTTTCAAATGGGCAAGCTCCTTGTTCCCAAAACAACTCTCAGCTGTTCTCTAAAAACCACAACTATCATAACTCAGTTTTGGAAAAACTGTTTCTAGAAAACAGTTCCAAGTAGAACCAAAATAAATTTTTTAGATTTTTGTTACTCAAAAAACAGCAAAAACCACAAAAGAACAGACTCATTGCAAATGTCAAAATTGCAACGGAAAGACCTGGTTGTCTCCAAGTTTAATAACACCAAATCTCAAACATTTTCCTATACAAATCATTGCCCTCTCAAGTACGTTCACCAACACCAGCAAAGATAGAAAAGCCACCTGATTTGAAAAGGAAATAAACATTGAGAAAATAAGCAAATATTTTAGACAGAAGGTTGTCAAAAAAAGAATCGTAAACAAACCATGAGCTTTCGCAACATTGTTAACATGTTCCATAATAAGTGCCGTCTTTCCCACCCCAGCACCAACAAAGAGCCCAATCTTTCCACCTCTTTGATATGGAGCAAGTAGATCCACCATCTAGCAAATGCAGACTATACAAGAATTGTAGGGCGCAGAAGATGCAGTCATTGTATAGAATGTAATCAGGCTGATACACACTCATAGGGGACTTATGGTGGACTGGTGGTAACCTAAAGTCATCTTTTACATGTTAAATGGTATGCAAATTAACAAAAATTTTGTACTTTGTGTTAATATGTAATGGACATGTACAGTGAAATCGTAACCACAATTAGAACGACTATGGAAAAATAAGGGAATTTTTAATTACTGTGGACTTACCTCAACGATTACCATGATAAACTAATGGAACACATTCATGATGAGATTTCATGGTACATGATATTTGTTCATATATTGCTTTTTTTTTTTTTTTTTTTTTTTTTTTTTTTTTGAAAAGTAAATTTGTTCATGTATTGTTTAAATGATGAAGCTAGAGAAGGGCTAAGTAATAAATTGAAGGTTTGGGGGAAAGCTCTAGAATTAAAAGGAATTAAGATAAGTAGGAATAAAACTTAATATATGAATTGTAACTTTAGCAAATCTATGTATATAAATAGGCAAGTAGTGATGAGACTCAAAAGAAACCAAAGCTTGAACATTTCCACTATTTACAATGAAGGAGAAATTGGATTAAATGTTAATCATAGAATCAAGTAAGATGGACCAAATAGAGGAATACGTTCAGTATATTGCGTGATTGGTACATCTCTCTAAAAATTGAAAGGGAAGGTCCTTTAAAATAACTACTATACCAGTCATTCTTGATGGGAGATCATGTATGCTGTATGCAATTGAGAAACAACATATGCACGAAGTGAGCATGGCAAAAATGATATGACTGTGTGAGAAAGAAATGATAGAATTAGTGTATGAACACGTTCGTGAGATGGTTATAGTAGCAATCACTGGGGGGAGAGAGACAGAAAGAGAGAGACAGAGAGAGAGAGAATCAATTAACATGATTTTACCCCAAGTAGTTGGAGCAATATGATTCATAAAACCTTAGATGGAGCAATATGATTATTGACGCCGACTCTAGGTAGTTGAAGCAAGGCTTTGTTATAATTGTTATTAGTGGTAACTGTTTAAATGGACATACTAAAAGATAAGAAAAATTAAAAGAGATCTTCACACTTCATGTGACAGAACAAATCACTTATTCCAAAAAATAAAGACATAACAAATCCATAGAAATGCATAATACACGATGTAAATGTCATTTAAATGCATTTATTGCGCAAACTTTAGGTGAAAGTCACCTTGATTCCAGTGACAAGAATATGTTGTTCAGTTGCCTGCTCAACAAAGGCTGGAACTTCTCAGTGAACAGGAAGAAAGTGATCGGTTTCTGCAAATGGAAATTAATCAAAACAAAAAATACAAAAGCATTAGAATATGCGAACATAGGTACACACTACACAATAATACATCAACAGGCACCTGCAAGTGCAAGCCCAGGATTGGAACAGAAAAAACTAAATAAAGAAATAAAAACATCAACTATAAAGCGTGGAAGATGCATATCTGAGGTTAATAGAGAAGGGAGGAAATTTAAAAATATGAATCTTGACTAAAGTCACAACTTGAACTTGGTCTAAACATAAATCCATGAAAAATGCAAACCATGCTTTACTAGTCCAAGGTATGACATGTTTTAATTCTTATTGAGACTGACAAAGTACTGAAATATATATTTCTTTTATTTGAAACAAAACAATTTCAAAGCGAAGGTGAATTTCAACCAAAAACTTATACAATACTTGTTGTCTATGTTGATTGTTTACTTTCCTTCTCACTCCAGATGTCTCTATCCGAGACATGAAATAATGCCAATCAAATTGCATTTTTGGAGGGATTTACTAATGATTTCCAGACCTTAAAACAATGTATTTTATTATGATTTCTAGACCTTAAAAAGAATCTCTTTTATCAAATATGGATCCTTGTATGACTCCAGATTTCACCCATTAGACATGGGTACTAGGTATTGAGGCATTATTTAGCAAGCTTGTGAATCTGAGTTAAATACTATTAGCTCCTTCGGACCTTTCTTTTTTCATCATCTTTTGTTAAGCCTTAGTGATGATCCTGGCAAAACAATGACATAGAACAGCAGGGGAGGGGGGCTATACACGACTCCAATCACAAATTGAGGAAAACGCCGTAATACCTTTCTTTTTTCATCAGAAAATATTTCTGAAATCTTTTGTCCTTCCGTGAGGGCCTTAAGGCTCCTTATACATACCAGTAAACTTGGGAAGAAGTTATCGTGTCCCATCAATGCTGCTTCAAATCAAATCTATATCTTTAAAAGTGAAATTCATTATTTCCTCTGTAATAAACCATTCATGGGTTATATTCTTCCAAAAATCCAAACTCAACTACTTAATTATCAACCACCAAATAGCAAAATGCAGTAACGAAAGGCGCAGTTATAATCAATTACGCAAGACCGAGACGTATAACCCATACTACTGTTCTGTGACGAACTAACATATTAAAAAAAGAACGAAAAAAAAACGTATACATTCACAATATGTATAAAGCATGAGTATGAAAGAAGAGAAGCATACACTGATAGGAGAACCAGTATTGAGGACCGTTTGTCCTCTAATAAGCCACTCTGAACAGTCCATAGCAATCTTCCTCAACATGTTTTCTCCCAAATGCTGCACCACTTCAAGAACCAGTCGAATAGAATTATTCAAAACCTCAAGCGATCACCTGAAACACCTGGGCGATCGCACCAGCACCGTGAACTGATCAGTTATCTTGCCAACGGTCCCATCCACTTCGACGGCGGCGCCGGATCTGTAGCGGCGGCGGAGGAGGTGGCGTAGTCCACGACGCTGTTCAAGAGAAAACCGGCCGGTAAAGGACGAGATGATAGAGACGGCGTGCGCGATCTAGGGTTTGCGATTGAGGGTTTTAGAGCAGAGCAACGGGTGGAGGAACGGAAGAGGGAGGATAAGAGCTAGCGAGAAGCCATGAATGAAGATTTGCGTGAGAAAAGGGTTAGGGTTAGGGTTAATTGAATGTGTTTTAAGACTCAGTTTGATAGAGTGAAAATGGGAGGAGAAGGGAGGGAAGGCGACGGAGGGTGATTAAAAAATTATGTTTGGGTAAAAATGGTGGAAAGAAAGGAAAGGAGAGGGAAGGGTTTGGAGGGTTAACACAAGGTTTTTACAGTATATTTCTTAACCTCCCAAAAATGGACAAAAACGAAAGGAAAGGGAAGGAGAATCTTGAGTGAGTGATTTCTTATGCCAAATTTACCATTGATTACACACAAAACTCATATATACAAGTTAACAGTTGGAAAGAGAGAGGGGGCAAGCTTGAGAGTTAAGAGAAAGAGGGCCGACTGAAAGATCGATATGGCTGAAATTGGGTTTTGAGTTTTTTCAGCAATTTGAAATGATGCCGATATGGGTTTTGTAGTTTTGATTCTTGAAGACAAATATATAAACTGGCAAGTTTAGAATTGAGGACGAGAATAGAGACGGAGGCAAGGAGGCTAAAATGATTTGTCTTAAAAATATTATATATATATTACATACGTTTTGTTATAGGGGTTTTTTTTTTTTTTTTTTTTTTTTACAAATATTACATACTTAAATTTATAAATTTTTCTTTTAAAAATTAAAAAAATATAATAGTAAATTTACAAAAATACTTCTCTTTCCTTTCTTTTCCCAAACATGATCATTATCATTTTCTTTCTTTTCCTTTATTAACCAACCAAACACGATAGGGGGTTAAAATTATCCTTCCCTTCCCTTTTCTTTCCTTCATAACTAATGTTATCATCTCCCTTCAAACCCATCGTACCAAACATAGCCTAAAGGTTAGTTTGGTGCAATGGAAAAGAGAAGGGAAGGTGATGGAGGGAAATTAAAAATTTATGTTTGGCTCAAATGGTTGGAAGGAAAAGGAAGGTTTTTAAGGGTTAACACAAGGCTTCAACAGTAAATTTCTTAACCTTTTAAAAATGGAAGGAAAGGGAGGAGAGACTTGGTGTATGATTTTTGATGCCAAATTTACCCTTGGTTACACGTGAATTTAGTTTGCAAAACAAGAATTACAGACCTTGATTAGTTGATTTAGAAAAAATAAAAATAAAACAGAACCCATACACACAAGTTAGCAGTTGTAGAGAGAGAGGGCGGCAAGCTTGAGAGTTGAGAGAAAGAAGGCCGGCTGCCTAAGCTTGCGAACGACGAACCCAAATTGGAACAGCGGATGATGGAAATTGAAAGATTGATATGGGTTTTGATTTTTTGAACAATCTGAAATGATGCCGATATGGGTTTTGAACTTTTGATTCTTTTAGACAAATATATAAACTGAAATATATGGGTTTTGAACTTCTGATGCTTGTAGTAGTTTGTAGTTACAGAGAGAGAGAGAGAGGTTAAGTTCAGAGTTGAGAACGAGAATAGAGATGGAGGTTGAAATGATTTGCTCTAAAATAATTTTTCCTTTCTGGTGGCCAATCCATGGGCCATTATATAGGAGACAATATACATATATATATATGTGTGTGTGTGTGTGTGTGTATATATATATATGTATATATATAAATTTATCTTTTAAAATATAAAAGGGCATAATAATAAATTTATTAAAATTATTTCCTTTCCTTTCTTTTTCCAAATATATTATTATCATTCCCTTCCTTTTCCCTCATAACTAATGTTATCATTCCCCTTCAAACCCACCGTACCAAACATACCCTAAGTGGTCAGTGAAGTGAAATCTGGAAATGAAGAGACAGTTGTGAATGGACACGTCACTCTGCGCTGAACTTTGGCAGACGAGTTCAAAACTTCAAACGCCCTATAGGTGTAAATTACGGATTACCTTTTTATTTTTATTTTTTTATTTTGCAAATTAGGGGAGGCTGGATCAAAGACGGACACACGTGTACAAGATCTCTATCAATTAGGTCACTTGTGGTACTTTATAAGTGTAATTTCCTTGATGATATGACAAATTACACACAATAAACTCATTTGTCAAAAATAACTTTTGAGCGTGAAAAGTTAATAATATCTTATAGGGAAATGTGCAAAAAAAAACCCCTGAACTATTATAGAATCAGCAATTAACCCTCTGAACTATTAAAATTGCAATTAACCCCATAAACTATGCATTGTTGTTGCAAATAGCCCCATCCGTCACTGTTCCGGTTGGATCCGTCACTGTTTCGATCAGATCTTACCCTTAAAGTGGCAACGTGATGGCACATGACATACACTATAATTTTAATGACTATATTACCCTCCTAAGCATGAAAAGACACTAATGTCCCCTTATTGTAACTTTTAAACACCTTTTAAACACCCCAAACACACCTTTATGTTTGTCTGTGTGTGTATATATATATATATAGTAAGCACATAATTGAAAAAAATTAAAAATTTCGTACTCACCTTCTTTCTCTGTGTGTATATAACTATATAACTATATAGCTCTTGTGTTTGTGTAAATTGCAGATCAATGAAAGATTTTTCAAAGGAAGCGTAGGAGAAGAAACAATTACATGCTAGAGAAGGCAAAACTCAGAGGAAGAAGCGGTAACAAGAGCGGTGGCAGTGAATTTGTAGGGTTCGAATATTAGATTTGATTGTGTATTATTTAGCCTAAAATGTTTCCAAATGGATAGAAAGAAGGTTGTGGTTGCCTGGTTAGTAAGGTAGGTCAGGGAGGTAACGGTGATGATGGTAGCGGGAGTTGGTTTTGTGGTTCAATTGGGTTTGACAGCGTGTGATTTACCCTTAATTATTTAAGTTTGTATTGGTTTGGGTGTGGTTGTGTGGTGGTGGCAGTGGGTTTGTGGGGGTGGTGGCAGTGGTTTTATGTGGTTCCTTTCAGTATGGATATAAAGTATCCGACTTCATCTCTCGCGAATCAAACCCATTTTGTTGACCTCTACTTCAGTCACGCCTCATCATGGTAAATATTCGGTGAAAAACCGAAGAAGATATGTTAGAGTCGTTGTTTGCTGGGAAAGAGGATTTGCTCTCGAGAAGGCGATTGATTGGTTCGTGCTTGGCTGTGTGAGCAGCAAAAGCGAGTACACCACCGTGGAGAACTTGTCGGCAAACCTTCCCAAGCTCGTGGACTGGTTATTAGATCTTTGCACTCTCCACCGCTGTCGATCTCTCCTTCATGGTGGTACATGGAGGGCTTATTGGATTTTGCTAATCAGTCTGAAAATTGGTGACTTATACATGCCAATCAGCTTTTGAATTTTGTTGACGTGGTGGTAATCGAAAACAAGCGTCCAAGTGGTTGTTAGGAGTAAAATTTGGTTGGCCTTGCTTTAAAATTTTTTTTTGCAATTCCCATGGAGAATAGATTTGTCGAGTTTATTTGAGTGGGATCATCAACGTTAGAGAGATTTTGGAATCAGGTGAGTTTTGTCGTCGAACATGGCGGTAAAGGATAAGTTTAACGCCAAATGGGTTTAAAAGGATTTGTTTTCCTTTTTTTTTTTTTTTTTTTCCTCTAAAGATAAGGTTGCTTTGTTGTTGCAATTTGATTGTTGTCTGAAATTATCATTGCCACGTCATCAAGTTAAGGGTATAAGTTTCAAAACTACATAGTTTTAAACAATGGTAAATTAGTCTTTTACTATTTCCATCCAAGTCAACTACCGGAATGCAACAAATCAATAGTTTAGGGGTTTTCTTGTAACAAATTAATAGTTTAGGGTTTTTTTTGTAATTCAAAGGGGTTGTTGCAATATGCCAATAGTTCAAGGGGGTTTATTGTACTTTTCCCTATCTTATATCATAATAATCGTAAAAAATGACTCATTCGCCAAAATGACAAATTTGTTATTTTATAATGTTTGGTCAGTGGGCCTATCAAAAAAAATGTTAATGTTGCGTTTAGTATGCAACAATTCCTTTATTTGGTATGCAATTTAAAGTGGGAATGGTCATTCCATTACAATGACTAAACTTATGAAATGGTCATTCCATTCCCAAGTAATGTTTTTAAAAAATTAAGTTCCCAAAAAACTCTCATGTTTCAAGTCCAAAAACCACCACTACCTTTCACCACCGCCATTGCCTTCCACCACAACGACCACGACCACGACCACGACCTTCCACCACAACCACCATCGCCTTTCACCTCTACTACCTCCATTGCATTCCACTACCGCCACTATTGTTGTCGTCTTTAACCACGACACTGCCACCTCCACCGTTTCCACCTCCACAATTGACTTCTACCACTGCCATCGTCTTTCACCACTATCACCTTCGACCATCGCCACCTCCATTGCCTTCCACCATCGTCATTGCAACCACCACCGCCCCCCATTATCGCCACCGCCATCAACACCACACCGCCTTCCACCATTGCCATTACCGTCAATGCTACCGCCATGATTGTCGCCGTCGCTTCCCCCACTGTTTTCCATCGCCACCTCCACTGCCTTCAGCTACCAACTTCCACCATCACCTTCCACCACCGCCACCTTTATTTCTTCAGCACCGCTGTCACCTCCATTGCCTTCCACCACCACCACTGCCGCCTTCCACCCACCACCACACCAATGCCATAACCATTGTCTTCCACTATCATCACTTATACCGTTGATGCCTTCCACTACTACCACCACCGCCACTGCTTTCCACCAACACCACTGCCACCTTCCGCCACCACCGCTTTCCCCCACAGCCGCCACCGTCGGCAGTATCACCTACACCATTGCCACTTTCCGCTTCCATCACCATCATCACCGCCATCCACTATCACCATCATTTCTTTTTACAAAAATTATATAAGACTCGGATCCCATTGAACCAACAGCTCTCTACCTACTCGTACTGATTGTGTACTTTTAGGTTTTATAGTTTCCAATTTTGGCCCTTAGAGCATCTCCAACCCAATGCTATTTTGGCTGTTATTTGTAAAATATAGCTGATGGGCTTCAAATGGGCTCTCCAATGGGCTGTCATTTTGCCTGCTAAATTTTAACATTGCCAATTCTTGTGCCAATTGTAGCACAAGAAATGGCAACTGCTATTTGTGAAAATGGGCTTTGAATTGACAATACAGAGAAAGTTTGATTGAAACCCCATGTGAATGAGCCCCATCTTCTTATTAACTTCATTATCAGCAACGTTGCATGGTTTAGGAAATGTAACAAAGAGCTGGTTTTAGTTCCTTTTTATAAAAAATAATTGTGAATATTGAAGAAATCAAATTCCTTGGGGATATTGTAGATGTGGCAGCTGGAATAGTGGATTATAATTCCTAACTTTGTCCAGTCTTTCCTTTTTTCTCTTTATATTTATCTTTTTTTTGGCAGGATTTTAATGGAGCATATGGCTAAAGAATTGTACTTGGAAATGATAGTTGAAAAAGAATGGTAGTTTAGAGTCAAGAACGAGAATAGAGATGGAAGCGATTGGGGAGGCTGAAATAATTTGCCCTAAAAATATTTTGTTTTTTAATAATAATATAATCAAATATAATATATATATATATATATATATATATATATATATATATATATATAAATTCCCTAATTTTTTTTTTTAAATATTTATATCATTTTGTTTTGTCTTTTTTTTTTTTTTTTTGGTCCTTTTTTGATAAGATATTTTAAAATTTTATTTCTTTTTAATTAGGTTTAATTTTAGTTTCCTTCTAATGTTTACAACTTGACTTGGAATTTTGCTTCTTTTTAATTATGTTTAATTTTGGTTTCGTTCTAATGTTTACAACTTGATTTGGAATGTGACTAATACTAATATTAATATTACTGATGCAAATATGAATGGTGGGAATGGTAGGTGAAAAAAAAATAGTGATTGTGTCAAAAAATAATATTTTGCATTAAATGGATCATTAGAGTAAAATTACTAAAATGTAATATTTTGACACTGTATCACCTGTCAAAATATAGATTTAACATGCAAAAATGACTTTTAACGTCGGAGATGCTGCTCTTTTAGCAAATCTTTAGCCAGCTGTTTAGACGGTTGTGTAGTCTTCGCACCTGTAGGTCTTGTTCCAGATTTGCCCGTATAGTTTCTTGTCACCCATCGATCGGGTAAATTAATAAGCTTTCGATTAAGCTGTTGGTTAAGCGGCCTATTATTATTCTGATTTCGATGAAGGAAAAGGTGGTGGTTATTCGGGTGATACGTCATCTCAATAGTTTCTTCCTCATTCGATTGAGCAATTGACTCTGCAACTGTCCCTTCTGTTGACTAAGACGCAGGGGCAGCACCCGGCACATTGATTTCTGAATTCAATATTGATAGGGCATTGGGAGATTTAGATGTTCCAGATTGAGTGAAATCGAGAGCTGGAAGTCCGAGTCTGAGTCCGAGTCCAAGTAGCAGTCCCAGTTGATTCACTTGATGATTAAAGGCTTGATCCATATAGATTTGATTTAGTCGATTGAGCAATTGATTCTACTAATCCAGCTCGAGATGGAGAACCCACGGAGGCATAGGTAGAGTGCCTAGTTTATTGATCGAAAACACCCATAGCAGCAGCAAAGGCAGGAGCATAAGCAGAAGTAGCGACACCCTATCTATATAGTAGCCCTATAGCAGGAGATCCAGATTATTGAGATGAAGAACTTCGTGATCGAGCTTCAGATCCAGATCTCCGTGAGCTAGATCCATCCATATCCATATCTTAGTTTCATAGAAATGTATCCTTATATAGTGATCAAGATGCCTTCGTGGTGAGCTAGATCCATCTTCTCTCTTTCGTGGTGTTGATGAAAAGTCTGGTGCTCGTCGTAGTATCGATCCAGTGCCAAAATCAAAGCCAGTTGAAGCACCTATTGTGGTTGAACCTCTTTATCCAGCACCAGCAACAATGGATCATCCAGCAGCAACATATCGAGACCTAGAAGCAAAGGGTGCCTATAACATCTATTCGCATGGTTCCAGAACCATCCATTGAAGCAGCAGAAGCGGCAAATGAACCTTCCAATCCATATGTGTTTAAAACGGGGTCCAGTGAATGGAAGCGAAGAAGCAACATCTAAACCATCCTTTTTTGCATTTGATCCCTCTCCCGTTCCAACTGGCCAGCTAAGCTCAAGGAACTAGGCTCCATCTCTATTTGGGTAATGGCCAATCTCATTTTGCATCTATTCCATCAACTCGAATCCAGAGACCCCGAACCATCTAAGCCTCCTACCCTAATTCACCAATTTGATCTTATTGTTCTCTTTCTTCCGATCAGTACCTGTTATTTTCTTCATTTAATTTATTTGTCACTTAAGAGTAGTATTTTGGATAATACAATTTAAAATTCATTCCATTTTAAATTTTAAATTTTAAATTGGTACAACCAAAAACTAGAATGAGAATGACCATTTCACTCTATTTCAACTGTCATTCCATTCATTCTTGTATACCAAACGCAGCATAGGGGTATCGTTAAGCATACTTTTGATTACTCAATTCAGCACTTAATTATGAATGTATTAAGTGTTTATCCAATTAAGTGCATTTTTTAATATTGCTAAAAACGGTACGTGTCACTTAAAACGGGATAAAATTTTAAGTGACTAAGGACATCACTTATTGCTGAACGCTAAAAATTCTAAAAGATATCAAAAAATATTTAATTTTTAATTACCACTTAAAAAATTCAATACTTAAATTCAGTTCTGAAAATTTTCAGTACTTAATTTTTAGTTTGATCAAACAACACAAAATCTGTCAAATATACCCAAAAACAATGTCCAGGAAAAAAAGCTAGGGGGCGTGGTTGCTCACACGCTAAATCTGTTAAAATACTAAAGAACTATCTACTCGAGAACCAAAAAAGCAACGCATAAGCAAATATATACTCAAAGAAGAACAACCACCTTCTAGGTAAATATAAGTTTCAAAACATCCTACAAGCCTAACCATAGGTGCAATTTCCATGATCAGTTCTTGTCCATCTTCCTTTTGGAGTTTGGTTAAAGCCATCATCTCCTCTATCCATATTTTCATAATTTTTTGCGACATCATCTTTCTTCAAAGCATACTCAGGATGTATTTTGCTTTCACAATTGAGTGTCAAAGTTCACATATCATTCTTGCACCTCTTTTATCTCGTGTCAATGCACGCATGCCTCACCCGCAAGCACATGTATGCTTATACCTACACTTGCCTTGCCTAATATTATTTAGGGATTATTACATATAAATGGTGCTAATGATCTATATTTACTATTTAATGGAGTCAACATCCCATACTTTTGAAAAATTGATGTTGACTAAAATGCTGACGTGGACATGAAAAAATACTATTTACCCTTACTGAGGTACTACTTTTATTCACATAGGTATCACTTTTTGTACATCAAGTACCACTTTTATTCACATAGGTATTACTTTTTACGCACATAGATACCACTTTTTGTGCATTATGTATCACTTTTTTTGTACAACACAAAAAATAGTACCTGATTATAAAAAGTGGTACCTATGTGCTTAAAAGTGGTATCTCATTGAGGGTAACCAGTATTTTTTCATGTCTTCATTTTTTCGAAATTATGAGACTTTGACTCCATCAAATAGTAAATATAAGTCATTAGCACCATTTATATGTAATAATCCCTATTATCTACTATATACTATCTAGTAATAAATACTATAGATTTGTTTAGTGATTGTACAAAAAAATTTTGCTTGGTTGAAAACTTAGTTATAAAAGACATGTTCAAACTGTTTTATTTTCTCTAAATTTTTTAGAATTGTTTTCAAAATTACAAATGAAGCAAAAAACATACTATTATTTTTCAACGTATTTCAAATATTAAAATAAAATAATTTTAGTATTATAGGACTATAGGAGTATTTGGGAGCACCGAAGCTTCCGGGATAGTCTTATAGTACAAGATAGAAATAGGTCGATATAGACCAAGTTGAACGAGAATGGGAATAGAAGCTCTTTCGATCCAAACAAATGGAAGGACAAGCCAAGCGTAATGGCGTAAGTGCCTACAAGCTGCACTGGAGCAGGCAGAGAATGAGCCGCAGAATCTAAACTCTGCTCAGACAAGGTTTGATTCGATGCATTACTGAGTTTCCCGTCTTACAATTAAAATTAGAATAAGATAAAATATAAAAAAATTTAAATTAGAATTAACTTTACATACAAGTATTGTTTTTATTTTTATTTTTTCTAATAATGTTTCAAAAAGTGAAGGCTTTATTATATAATTTAATGGCGCGAACAGAAGAATTCAAAATCAAACAGAGATCTGATTTCAACGATACTTTCCTTTCTGTGTTGAAATCTTCCTTTCAAAATCAATCAAAACCCTTGAACTCTTCCTTCGTTTGATTTTGTATGCTTTCCTTTTTATGTTGTAATTTTCAAAATCCCCCAAAATTGAAAGAAATCACACCATTCACTACCAGCAAAGGTGAACTGCACTGAAGAGTTTTAGGTATGTCATCATCCATCATCTTCAATAGATAATCCGAAAAATGGACCCAGAAGATCTGCTCGAATTGCTCAGCGTGACATCGTCCGCAAGAGTAAAGAGACAACTTTCTCGTTCCCACTTCACACATATTTATATATTGATATCATATATATGCGTATGTCGTTTTGATTATTTAGTGAAGTTCTATGATGAATATTTTGTTGTTATTTTCTAAGATAGCTTATGTTCCGAAGCATGGGGCTTTGTTGTTACCATTATAAATCAATGTGTAATGTATAATCTGCATTCTATAATATGCACATGAACTGCTCGATTAATTGCCAGTCTAATGGGGCAGGTTCAGAGGCTATAGGAATGCAAATACTTGGCTGACCCTTGTTTTTAAGGTGAAATAGATAAAGAATTTACATAATATAATTGCATAATCTGCATTCTATAATACGAATCTCTTTGTTTGGTGCTGTTCATAAGCACTTTTGTTCAAAGCATAGAGAGTGTGTCCATGGTTGTCTGCGCTGTACCTTTATACTGGTTGACAACATTTAATGCATTAGTTGTTAATCCTACTAGATCATCTTTAATAGGTTAACAAAATCCATAGGATTTTGGCGTTAAAACATGGATTTGTTGAATATATGTTGATTGATTTATTTTAACTTGGCAAAATTCAACAGGGAGCATATATGAAAAAATAATAATAATAATCAAATGGGGACCAAAAATGGATAATTTTTAGCTATATTTCGTTTTATTGATTTATAATTTCTCTTAACACATTGATATAATGCATTTCGTGCAGTTTTCATATCTGTTTTGCAACATGTATCAGTCTTTGAAGTCCAGAAAGCTTCCAAAGGTGATTTGAGTAATTTTTTTATTTATTTCTGATTTATTGTTCAGTTTTCTTCTGTGTTTTGTCATGAAATTGGAGAATGTAGGTTAATAGGACCTATGTTGGCAAATTTCATAGAACAAAGCTAGAGTCTGTAACTTTTGTTTTAATTTCTAGTGTAGGTTAGGAGTTCCTAAAAGTTAGTGTTAGTTGTTACCTCCTACACTTGGTTGAAGAAGGAATTTCGAGCTACCTTGGAGAGTAATTGTTTAATATTCTACACCAAGGTAAAAAGCTATTTATGATCATGTCTCATGGGCTTCGATTTGTCGAAAAAGGGAAGGTCTAGAGCTTCAGTGACTACCGTATTAGCTTTGTGTAATAAACTCCCTTTGTTTTTTAATTTATGGATGAGGGGAATGCCTTGCTCCGGTTTGTTTGTATTGTTTTAATGCATCAGATGATAGAGAGTATTTTTTTTTTTTTTGAGCTGTGATTTTGTTACTCAAGTATAGGACTACTTTGCCGATCTTCTGGGTAAAAATTGGCATCTTGTCCATGATTTAAATGTTGGTCATCTGGGTTTCTTCTTGGTTCGGCACTGATCAGCTTCCAAAAATGATTTTATTGTAGTCATTTGGGGTAATTGGAAGGTGGGGTACTCTAGAGAGCTTTGGTTTTCTGTTTTTATGTTGCTGGTATGTCTTCAGAAGGTGCTCTTAGTTAAGGGCATTTTATGTCATTTGTTTTGGAAGTAGGTGTATTCTGTTCTAATTCCTACCTTCTGTTTTGTTACTTCTGTACAGTGAGGGCATGCCCTCCTTTATACTTCATTGTCTTATCTTTTATAAAGTCATTCCATTTATGAAAACAGAAGAAGTTAATTTAACACTTTGATGCACTCATGATTAGGTTTTAAATTCTTACATGATTAGACCTTATTTGATTCCCTAAATCTTTTGAAATGTGCATAGAAGTGTTTCTGGAAACTTCCTATTCAAAATTTTCTAAGTTAAACACTGAAGTAGACTCAATTGATCAAGCTCTCAATCGAGCCCCACTGAAGTTGTGTCAACAAATCGAGCCTCGTGAAATTTCAGTTTTCATTCTAGTTTAAAACGACACCAAACCTTTTCTCTCTATACTTCTATTTTGCCTATATACATACAACTCTACAGCAGAATACAAAAGATACAGAAAATAACTTATACACACATAGAGATCCTAATTTTGAGTTCTAAGGTTGCATCATTATTATTGATTTCTTTAGATTCATCACACTTAGTACTGGTGTGTTCTTCACTGTGCGTTGACATTTGTTGCTGTGTACTACTTGTGAAGACTTCAACATCATAATTAATCCATCTTTAGAGATTGAATTGGACAATTAGTGGTTGGATTACTGGTGTAGAAGCAGATTCTTGAGGAGCGAAGGCTGTTGGCGAGCAGATCGTGTACCTGGAAATCCAAGGAGAGTTTGATGGGTTGATCGTCAACGAGGTCACTAGGAGTTTTTAGGGTTTTTGGAATTGTCACCTAGGTTGTAATCCTTCTTTTTTGTAGTTGATTCCATTTGCCTAGATTAGGAGGTCCCAGTTTTTTGTCCGTTTGGGTTTTCCACGTTAAAAATATGTGTCCATTGATTTCTTGCTTTATTTGTTTATTGTGTGCTATGGATTGAATGATTGGTTCAGGCTGTATCAAAGCCTCAAGTTCCGGTCTGAACTATCAATATTTTCAGTTCCTTGAAAGATTCATATGGAGATGGAATGTTAGTCCCAATTAAAGGATGCTAGACATAGATAATAGGATAGAAGGACAAGTCAAATCGATTATTGGTTTATTTTTTATGTATAAGATGTTCCGTATGTTTCTTCAATGTCTAGAAATATTGTTTCTTTACCTTAACTTGGCAAATTGAACTAAGAATCTCATTTCATTAATACGCACCTTCAGAAATCAACTGATGGCCTCTTCATCCAAGATCGTGTACATTCAAAATTGTTTCACTTTGTGGAGATACACAATTTCGATATTCAGATAGGAAAGTCAAGAATTAGGTCTTTTCAGCATGTTTATGCTAGTTGTGATGGCTTAGTGTTGTTCTGTGATCGCATAAGTCGGTACCTCATCCATGTTGCAAATCTTATTACGAAGCAAGTAGTGGTCCTCCCTCCATTTTTTTGATAAAATTGTATACCAGTCTTGTTTAGCATATGTTCGTTCTACCAGGAGATACAAAGTGGTGATGAAAACTTTAATTATGTGTGCACAATATTAACTGTGGGTACCAAGAGTGCTTGGAGGATGATTGATACTGAAGAGTCAGAAGAGATATCGGACTTTGTTAAGTATCTGACTCGATGTTACTGCCCCTTATTTGTTGGAGGGTATATTTATTGGACTGGTGGGTATGGTGATCCCCACCTTATTGCTTTGGATGTTGAAGCTGAAACAATTCACCAGCTTCCGAATCCGAAAATCTACAAGGAACGAGGAGGTAATTATATAATGAGGAGGCCTTAGATAACTAAGTGTCATGCGGGGAGTACCACACTGCAGCTATTTCAGAGAAAGGCGGGGATTATTGGGTTTCACAAGGCTAGACAAAAACTTGATGTTGAGGGCCTTATTTGGAGAATAATATCTAGTTAAAGAATTCTGATCTTCTCAATTATACACATCTTTTATATTCTTTTAGTATTTTTGGTGTTTCCATCGAAAAATTTGCATATTCTTCATTCTGTGACAATAACATTGGTGGGTCCTAATTGGATGACCCATTTACTTGCAAAACTCATAAGAGTAGTTCCACTTGAAAGGGAACAAAAATAAATAAATAAATAAATAGAGTAGTTCCTTATTTTACATATTTATTTATTTATTGTATTCATATTTATTGTATTCATTGAATATAATTTCCTACATAGTTTGCATATTGATGCTGGCTGTCTATGTTTTTTTAGTTTATTATCTGGTTCTGGGTCAGCTTGGGCATTGTTCCCTTCAGTATGGGGAGGAGTTGGGTAAAAAGTTAGTGTCACGATTGATCATAGTTTTTATCTACTAATTGAAATATGGTTGGTAGTACCTATCTTGTACTGAACCAGAATCCTCTCCTGTGGAACAGGAGAATCTGTTCCCTCCGGTTTTCACTGTAGCAGTGGTAAAAAGGGCCAAACAGTACTTTGGGTAAAAAAGGTACACAGAGACACATATACGAACAATACACATACAAAAAATTATACATACATACATACATACACGAAATTTTTCCTATTGAAACTCAGATTGAAGCGGCAAATTGGAAAATCCAAAACAGATTTAGCGCCTCTTCTAATCTTCTTTCTTCTTCTTCTCTCCCAGTTTTTCCTCCTTTCCAAATTTATAATTTCTTTCCAAAGGTTTTATTAAACGTCGGCGGAGAAGAGGAAGGCACAATTGTGAATCGGACCTTCTAAATTTCTAATCTTGTTTCTTCTTCTTCTCTCCCGATTTTCTTCCTTCTTTTCAAATTTACAATTTCTTTCCAAACATTTCATTGAATGTCGGAGAAGAGTAAGGTACAGTGACAAAGGTATGTTCTTAATCTGCTTTCTTCTTCTCTCCCTAAATATAGAATGAAATAAATTCGTCTTCCCAAAAAAGTCCTAGCTTTCCTTAATTTTGTTCTTTTCAAAATTACAATTTGTTTGGAAAGGTTTGATTGAACGTGAGGAAGAGGAACCTTCAGTGTTGGAGAAGAGGAAGCTACAGTGACGAAGGTATGTTCTTAATCTGCTTTCTTCTTCTCTCCCTAAATATAGAATGAAATAAATTGTCTTCCCAAAAAAGTCCCAGCTTTCCTTAATTTTGTTCTTTCAAAAATTATAATTTGTTTGGAAAGGTTTGATTGAATGTGGGGAAAAGGAACCTTCAGTGTCGTGTGTTTGGTAATTCTTGAACTGTTATTAAACTGTGAAAAATTAAATGAGAAATTGTGAAAATTATATGATTAAATTGTGTAAAAGTTGTGATATTCTGTATTAAAAGTTATGTTATGTTTTAAACTTCAATTTAAGATGTTAGAATAAAATATCCGTTGTATTCCTGTAATGCAGTGTTTTATTCGTGATAAATACTACAATCTATTTGGGATATTCTGTACAATAAGAAATAGAGGTTTTACACTTCCAATTTAATATGTTAGAATAAAATTTTCATTGTATGAAATGTAAGTTCTCATTGACAGTTATGATTGTTCATTATAAATAACTCAACTTGGTTGTAATGTTTCTCAAAATAAGCCCAAGACCTTCCCATCATTTCCCACTAACTAATGCTCCCACATTTCATCATTGTCAGTTAGACAAGTGGGAAAAGTAAAGAAACAAATAAACAATGAAGTAAAAAAAAATACCTCTCGACTAAATTAGTATATTTCAATATCTTAGAAAGTTTGATATATATATATATATATATATATATATATATATATATAAATAAAAGAGTGAAGGAGAACTAATGCAGATTCTTTTCACCACAACGTTCTGTTCTTGTTGTTGTAACAGTGAATTGGATTTGAATAGTTGGCTTGTTCATGTCCTTTTGACCCTTTATTTCTATCTTCCCCTGTTTCTTCATCTTTGGGAAGAAGTGGTCAGTGGGTTTTGAATTACAAACTCACTGTGTCACAGTGTGTGTGTGTGTGTGAGAGAGAGAGAGAGACAGAGACAGAGACAGAGACAGAGAGACAGAGAGAATGGGTTGTCTGGGACTTTAAGTTGCAAAGAAGGCAATGTGGCTCTATCTTTTCTATCATGGGTTTTAACCGTTGTGAGAGATGGGGGCACTATGCTTGCTACTCCAATACATTTGTCTATGTCTTTGGGTATGTATCTTTCTTTAAAATAAGAGAAATAAAATTTTTATTTTATTTTTTTTCTTTTGATTATTCATTAATAATAATGCTATTTGGAGTGTTTTTTCTTTGATCATGATCTTTGGATTCTTTTTCTTATTTTACTTAATTTACTCTGTTACTATCTGTTTGGTAACTTTCATGATGTTCTCTGGTTATTTTTATTATTAGTATTATTCTTATTATTTTTTATGTATTAAGTTTTGAGTTTTGGGTTAAAATTTATTCTCTTTTTTGTTCTAGGCTGTTGGTATAGTTATCTTTGGCTAATAACATGTGCACTTTCTACAAATGTTTTATTTTTTTCCTATTCTCTCTTTAGTATTTGTTTGTTGTTGGTTTGTCTTTGTTTGAATTTCTCAAATTAGTTGGGATGTTGTTTGGTTGCATGATTAGCTGCATCACACTACTACTCTTGGTTACATGACATGGAAATGTTTTTCCAATTCGTATTGTTGTTTCTTCTTATACCTCTAACTTAACATGGTTGTAGTGTTTATCAAAATAAGCCCAAAGAAGTTTGCAAGTTCATATTTGATTTGGAAAAAGTTAAATGAATAATTGAACACAGTTGTAATTTTTATGAAAATAGAAGGTCCAAAAAGGTTGGAAGTGCATGTTTGACTTGGAAAAAGATAAATAAATCATTTATTTTGTTATTTGTAGCAAAATTAAAATATGTGCAATTGAGGAAGTTGGTTCCCTGCCCTAATACATTATACTATCTTGAATAATGGTAGTAGGTCAGAAAATATTTCCAATTAATAATCCATACCTGCAACACAGCCCTTCGTTCAAATGTATTTTTTATATATTGTAGGTTTCTGATTTCAATTATTAAAATGGAAGAGGTATTAAATAACATCGAAGACACCAAATATATAGAAAACGTTCCTATTGCAAGGGCAGATGTCGTAGAATGGAAACCAAGAATAGGTATGAAGTTTGAAACTGAGGAAGAGGCATATGATTTTTATAATTCATATGCCGGTCGAGTCGGTTTTAGCATCCGCAAAGAGTATTTTAATAAGAGCAAAAAGACTGGTAAACTGTCATCGAGATTGTTAACATGCTACAAGGAGGGTTTTAAGGGTGACGACATTCGGGACAGTAATACAAAGACTCCCAAGGCCGAAACACGAACTGGTTGCCCTGCTCGAATGCTTATTCAAGTTTCCAAGTATACGCATAAGTTGGAAGTTACAAAATTTGTTGAAAGCCACAACCATCCATTGATGATTGATGAATGCATACACATGCTGCCATCCCAGCGTAGAATTAGCCGTGTTCAGGCCATTGATTTGGAATTGGCTTCTGATTCAGGAATAAGCCCTCGCAATTCATATGAGTTGATGGGATGGCAACCTGGTGGAAAACAATTAATTGGGTACATGAAGTTGGATTTACTAAACCATATAAGGACCTGAAGACAAACTGAGCTCGAATATGGAGAGGCAGCATAGCTAATGAATTATTTTGAGACTCAGTCTTGTGAAGATCTATCTTTCTTTTATGCATTCCAATTGGATAGTGATCAAATGATCACTAACATATTCTAGGCCGATTCAAAAATGATAGTTGATTATTGCAATTTTGGAGATGTAAGTTTTGACACAACATATAAAGTTGTACATGGCAACCGTCTATTTGGAAGTTTCTTGTGGTTGAATCATCACCGGGAGATCGCTGTGTTTGGAGCAGCGTTCATGTATGACGAGACTGCAGAGTCGTTTGTGTGGCTGTTTGAAACATTTTTAAAAACAATGTCCGATAAAGCACCAAAGACGATTTTCACTGATCAAGATGCTGTAATGGGAAAGGCATTGATGCAGGTGATTTTAATTCAGATCTCTACTCTTTGCATTTCCAAATTTTAATTGTGTAGTTGGGCGTGGTACATGTTTTTACGTAGTTATATTACAGAAATAGTTTTTACTGGTGATGCCAGGGACAAAACATTATCTGTGTGTTTGGCACCTAATGCAAAATGCACAGAAGCATCTAGGGTTGTTGTTTAGACGTGCGCAAGGCTTTAAGAATGTGTTATCAAAATTAATGTTTGAAATGAGGAGGAGGAAGAATTTACCAGGGAATGGAATTTAATGATAACGGAAAATGGTGTTATTGGTAACACATGGCTTACAAATCTCTTTGTTTTGAAACATAGATGGGCCATGGCATTTATTAAACATACCTGGTCCGCGGGTATCCACAGCACACAATTGAGTGAAAGCTTCAATGGTTGCTTGAAGGTGTACTAATCCAGGTAACTGATTCTTCCAGATTTCTTCACACACTTTTAAAGGCTATTGTCCGACAAGAGTTACAAGGAGTATGTAGCCGAGTATGGGTTGCTCCACAATCTACCTCAACTGAAAACAAACTGTAACATATTAGTAGAGGCGGCAAACCTGTACACAAAGGTTATATTTAATATTTTCCAGGAGGAGTTCTTAGCAGCTGCTGCCAGTCAGAGGATCATTGGTTGCAGTCCCATCGATGGCAACGGAGGCTGTGTTTACAAAGTCATTGGTGAGGATGGAATGCAACGCGACGTGAGGAGGACAGCAGAAGATGAATTGTTATGTTTTTGTTGTACATTTGAAAGGGAGGGTATTATGTGTAGACATAGTTTGAAAATCCTAAAGGACTCCATGTTCGCCAATACATTGCCTCGTCGATATATATTAAGAAGGTGGAGTAGAACTGCAAGAGATAACAGCTTGGAGGAAAATCTTTCCGGTGAAGTGATTGCCGAAGTTGATCCAAAAATTGAGGTTAGGAGACGGCACAGGGTACTTTGTCGTATTCTGACTGAAATTTTGTCTATTGTATCGGAGGATAAGGACGGATACAATGATTTATTAGTGAAAGCCATGGAGTGGAAAAAAATTGCCCAATCAAGTTGTAGATGTAAGTTTGCTGAGAGGAATGGAATTTATATTGGTGGTAAAGGCAAAAACCAATATGTCGGCATGAACAGAAATACTGACAAAATCCCCAATGGTCTCAAGTGTAAAGATACACGGAAAGGAAAATTTAAGAGGTTAAAACCGACCATGGAGCTAAAGAGTCGCAATAAGACGAAATCAATGAAACAAACTGTAATGACCTGGATTTTCACGGATTTTTTTTTTTTTTTTTTCCGTTGTCTTTCCTTTTTGAGTTCATTTCCTCTTCGCTTAGTGTCATCTCGAGTGCTCTGGAGTGATTTCCGAGACTCTTTTCTGTGGATTAACAACTTTCCTTGAGGACCGAGTCGTTTCCACATTTTTCGTTTTTCGACACTATTCACTTTTCGTACTTTTCCTTATTTTGTCTTTTCCCCGTTTGACACTTTGTTGGCGTAACCACACTTCTTGTGTTCGAAGTTAGTTTTTGACTTCATGTATCTCCATCTTGAGTGGTTTCCACGAAATACGTATCTTTACTTTTGTAAGAAAGTACTCTGGTTGCTCCCGGTGTCCATAGGGGTATGGATGCAAAGTTCTTTGAAATTATTTTATTTTCTTGGGGTGTTTTTTCGTAAATATCTTTTGAAGATATTTTATTTTAGGGGTTTTTAAGAAAATATTTTTGGAAGATATTTTCATTCTGGGCCATTAGTGCAGTTTTCACTTTTTAGAGGAACCATTGTGCAATTAATGAAAGTTATTGCTAAATGCTTTGTTTTGAGCCTGGATCCTCGTACGGGATTCATTTTCACTTTTCGTCGAGTTGTGTACTCTTAGAAATTCCTTCTGGTCATTGTTTTCCAATTTCAGGGTTTCTGGCCCTAGTTAACTCCAAACTTGTTTGGGGCATAACTTTCTATTCGAGACTTGGTTTTTGACGCCGTTTCTTCCGTTGTTCATGTTTTCTCATTTTGAATCTTTTTCGTTCACAGAGTTTTGTCATTTGAGCACGTCTGCTCAAATTTCACTTTTTCGGACCCGGAGGGGCCCGTTCGGGACACTTCTTGAGATTTCTATAAAAGGGGAGTGAGATATTTTATTTTTTCATCTTCCTACTCTCTTGTACGACCTGAAGCTTCCATGGCAGCCCAAGGGAGGCTGCCACCTTCTCTCTCCTCTTTTGAGCTTCATTCCTTCGTCAGAACATAGAAGGACATTTGCGTTTAGTGTTCGTGTTGACTATGCGCTTCTTTCACTCTTATTAGAACCCATTTCTGACCATTATTTGAGTTTGGGTTTGAAGTCAAGTTGTGATTTTGATGGGGCTTCCTTGGGGGTTATGTGCACGGTGTAGTCCCCGACAAAACCTAGAAGTTTCGTCGGATTCCGAGCGGTTTCCATTTGGTGGCTTTTGAGATTTTCATCTCAAATTGAGGTAGGGGATGTTCTAGGCTTGTGTGTGTGTTGTATTGAGTGTTTAACATGATTATACAACTTAATTGCATGCCTTGTATCGATCCTAGAAAATTAGTATTAATTATTTCTTTGTATGAAATTTAATTCACAAGGATGTGTATAACTTAGAATGAAATTGTGGCATGCTAGAAAATCATATTTTAATATGTTTGTTAACATATATTAAATTGGGATTAATTGAATAAGAATTGCATATTTTATTTAAGATTTATCTTTTGTGAAAGATTAAATCTCATGGCCGTACCTAGCATAAAATTGACTTATGATATGCTTTTAAATTATGTCTTGGCATGTTGTTTAACATACTTTAATTTGAGAGCATTTGGACAAGTATGAAAATCTAGAGATTTTAATTAAAATAATTAATTAAAATCTAATTAAGGGTTCCATTGGCCTAATTAAGTGTTTAACTTGATATTTGTGATAACTATGACTTATGTTTTAGCATATGTTAATTTGGAACCATTTGATGTTGTTTTAGAAGTTAGGGATTTGATTATCATGATTTAATTAAATTCCACTTTATTGTTCTTATGGCCTAATCGAGTTTTGATATGGTGTATGTAATGACCATGCTATATTGTTTATCATGTATTAATTGGAGGCCATTTGATTGAGATTTGAAACTTAGGGAATTTAATTAGTTTATTGATTAAATTCCATTTCTATTGTATTATTGATTAACTCATGTATTTGACATTGATAGTATGTTTAAAGCATAACTTTTGCCTTATAATGGATTTATGAGTTATGTTTCAATATTGGATTATATTGTTATAACGCGTAACGAATTGCGCTATGAAGATTCGACATGTGATGTTATTATAGCGCGTAACAAATCGTGCTCTGAAGATTCGACATTGTCATCCTATAGTAGTTGTGGATTTAGAGCATGTGTTGTGTGGTTTCAGCCTCCTTGTGCATGAGGGTAGTTTCGTGTACTATTCAATACGTATATAAGTTGTAAACTTATCTATTTATTTTGGAACCACTTGGGACATTGCATGATGGCTAGGGTTTGGCTCTAGTACGGGGACAAGAGTCCTTTAAGTCAAAAGTTCGCGCGTTGGGTAGGCTGCCTAGGGGTTAGTAGCTCCAACTTAGCCCAGAAAAGTTCGCGCGTTGGGTAGGCTACCTGGGGGTTAGTAGCTCCAAATTAGCCCTGTATCGGTCTCATCCGACTAATGTCCAAGTCTTCCAGTATTTGTTTTCGCATTCAATTCCAAGTTATCAATCATATTTATATTATGACTGTGGTTTTGACTATTGGCGATTTGATGTTGTTAAGTACATTCATACTAAATTACTATATTTAGTTGATTTTAGCATTTAGATTTCAAGTTGATAACTTTGAGAATCTATATCTAGTTGCTTTGTGTAAGTATGTTTCTATCTGGTTGCTTTGTGTAAGCATGTTTCTAACTAGTTGCTTTATGTAAGCATGCCATATCTTGTTGCTATGTGTAGCATGCTCTTATGTTGTTGAAATTGCATAAAAGATGTGTTTTATGCTAGAAATGATCTTAGGTAGCTAGGATGCTCCTTGAGTCTCACCTTTGATATAGACGTTAGGTGGAATGACCACAATGATTAATTCATGTACACTTGTAAAACGTAGGTCGATGCATGCTCATTTCATACGAGTAGCTTTATGTTACTCACCCCTACGATACTGGGGCATATTTCAGGTATAGGATACAAGATTGGAGATTGCAATTGCTTGGGTGATTTGCTGGGTTGAGCTTCTTTAGAAGCAATTTTGTTCACATGCAAGTGTTACCATGTTCATGATTTGTCTATGAAATGTAATTTTTCTAACTTGGAGGTTTGACATGTCAAATGTTATAAATGTATTGTAATGAGGCCATAGGCCATTGTACCACATCTATTTTATCATATTACATGCACTTGCATACTCACTTTGGCAAACAATATATTCTTTGATGAAACAAAAACTAAGTAGCATTTTTAGGGAGTTTTACCCTATTCTGTTCCAGGGGCATTTCGGGTATTTCACAATGTATTTTTTTCATTTTTCCTCGTGAGTCATGTAGAAAACTCAATTTTGAGGGGGGTTTCTTCTTTGTGTTTTTCAAGAAAACATCATCTTGTCCCTCAAAAATCAATATTTTTCTGAAAAATCCTTGCTGCCAGGTTTTTGCAAATTTTTAGTACAAATGTAGTTGGTACTATTCATCGACTTTTTTTTGAAAATCGTCACGACCGATCCGAAACTTCCAGAGGTCTTGTGGGTGTATTTTAAGATTGTGTTTTCAATTTAAGCAATTTAAAAACCTCTCGAAGCCCTATTTGCAAAACTTGGGCAGTAGCTTGGATTATTTTTTTTTTCCTCTTGACCTGATTTTCTTGGGGGCATTCTGGGCATTTTACAATGCATTTTTTTTTTTGTTTCCGTTCATGATCGGGGTAGGAAACTTGATTTTAGGGGGGGTTTCTTCTTTGAGTTTTTCCAAAAAAGTCCGTTTAGATGCCTGTTTTTACTCTCAGTTGCAGCAGTGGTGGGTTGTCCTCGTCGGGCCGCCACGACATCATTTTTGTTTTTGACCTTTCTCCCCTGTTCGGACTCCAAATTGAGTAAATTTTTTTTTGAACTTGACTAATTTGTTCCAGCGGTGTACTCGATAGCACCTGAATCCACTTTTTACAAAATGACCATTTTGTCCCTAGGTTCCTTTTTGTCCGTAATTGAAACGTCACTAACGCATTTGTTTTCCTTTGGGTTCCGTGACCTCATTAAGGGTCACATTGGTGTCTTAGCAACATATGGTATCTCTAGAGACCGTTGTTTCACCTTTCGCTTCCGCATTTCGGATCCGTTATCGGGTCATCTTTTGGTCATCACTGACGCACTGTTACAAAACTTGGGCCGTCACACAAACAGTTCAGCTTCAGGTACTTTTATACTCTTACTGGTTGTCCAAATAGTTTCATAAGTAATACCAGTTCTGTGTATTAAATTATGCATACGTAATAATTCTCATAATTGTGTTATAGAATTGCAATGAAGCCCTTCAATCAGGAGAGGCAGGTGGTAGTAGTCGTAGTGGAACAATCCCCTACCACGTGTTAGTGAATGTGAGTATTATCGCATAACTATTTTCAGCACATTGCTTAACATTTGTTTTATGTTATTCCCCCCCCCCCCCCCCCTAAATGATAAGTGTGTATTGAATATAAACAAATAATACATGGAGAGAAATGATGGCATACCCTCATGAAAATAAAACATAGTCCTAGAAATGTTTCCCTTTCAAACACCTAAACTACTAAGCAATGGAAAGTTACAAAATGTCTTGGAGATGAACTCCCATCACATCTAAAACCTCCCATAAATTACATTTATTTAGATCCTTAGCTACTCTTGCAATCTTATCATGCAATCTGTTTGAACTTATTTATAACTTACGTAACACCTGGCTGCCAATGCAAAGGGGTTGTTGTTGGAAGAATTTTTGACTAATAACTGGTCTTTGCATAACTAAGACTGAATGAATAGACGATGTAGCTCTACCCCCAGTCCAACATAAGGCAGCCCAATCCACCTCTTCAATTTTCTCTGTCGCAGCTTCCCATGCTGCTTAACATGTTCATTATGGTTAGAAGTTAATATGTGGTCAAATGTTTTACAACATTTATTTTGTAGGGCTGTGAAATTCCAGTTGAATTTCTCAGTGAAGAAAGTTATATGACGCCACCACAACGTGTAATGCATTACAGAAGGTTTTCGCAACCGCCTGCTGAACTAACTACTCCATTAACTAACCAGGCAAGTTTGCTGTTAAGGTGGAACCAACATATAAATTACAATATACAAAGTTGTATAATTCTTTAATTGATTGTTTATAATATATCCTGAAAAATATATAATGTTGCAGACCTTTGTTGCTGATTCATGCAATTCCAATACCAATTATTCACATGATGATTGTTTCACTAATGGTTTCAGAAGTAATAAGGTACGTAGTTGTCCTCATCAATACAATTCGTACCAGTTTAATTTTTTATTGAATTTTATTCTCTGTTATCATGGTATCTAATTTGATTGCATTTTGTGGCATGATCATTTTGAAAGATAGCAGATTTAAACAATTGCGAATCGAGTGTGAGACGAACGTCCCAAATGCTAATCGAGGAGATAGACCGACCAATTGAACGACTCTTTCATAGTTGACAATCATTTCTGCTTGTATTTCACAATGTTTTAACTTATTTTGTTTATTTAACTCTGCTTAATTGTTATTGGGTTTTATAACAATATGGGGGGGGGGGGGGGGGTTGGGCAAATTTGTATAATTTTATGTATTATGAAAATGCATAATAAGTGGTTTTCATCATTTCTTATGAAATATTAGCTCTTGACTTATGAGTCTAACTCAAATATTTGAATTGATGGAAATGCATTGAAAATATTTGCAAGGGCCAAATTAATAATATACAAATGCAACAACATTGTGATCCACTTATGCAAATACATATGTAGCATTTATCCTATTACTTATATACATATATTCCTTATAATTTATGTCAAACATCCAAATAATTTTCTAATATAAGTCTGAACAGATCAATTTATGCAAATACATATGTTTTATTTATGTTTATATTTTTTTAGCTAATTTCGTTACTAGTTTATAGAAATCATCCGAATTAATTTGTAAGACAATTTCTAAGCCCAAAACAAAAATCATCCAAATATAAGTCTTAACAGATCAATTTATGCAAATGCATATGTTTTGTTTATCGTTATATTTTTATACATAATTTCGTTACCATTTTATAGAAATCATCCCAATTAATTTGTAAGACAATTTCCAAGCCCCAAATGAAATTCATCCAAATATAACTCTCAACAGATCAATTTATGCAAATACATATGTTTTATTTATCGTTATACTTTTATAGCTAATTTCATTAACATTTTATATAAATCATCCCAATTAATTTGTAAGACAATTTCCAAACTCCAAACGAAATTCATCCAAATATAATTCTGAATAGATCAATTTATACAAATACATATGTTTTGTTTATCGTTATATTTTTATACATAATTTCGTTAACAATTTCTAAAAAACATCCCAATTAATTTGTAAGACAATTTCCAAGCCCCAAACGAAATTCATCCAAAAATAAGTCTCAATAGGTCAATTTATGCAAATACATATGTTTAGTTTATCGTTATATTTTTATACATAATTTCGTTACCATTTTATAGAAATCATCCCAATTAATTTGTAACACAATTTCCAAGCCTCAAACGAAAATCATCCAAATATGTTTCGTTACCATTTTATTGTTATATTTTTATACATAATTTCGTTACCATTTTATAGAAATCATCCCAATTAATTTGTAACACAATTTTCAAGCCCCAAATGAAAATCATCTAAATATAAGTCTCAACAGATCAATTTATGTAAATACATTTGTTTAGTTTACCGTTATATTTTTATACATAATTTCGTTACCATTTTATAGAAATCATTCCAATTAATTTTTAAGACAATTTCTAAGCCCCAAACGAAAATCATCCAAATATAACTCTCAACAGATCAATTTATGCAAATACATATGTTTTGTTTATCGTTATATTTTTATACATAATTTCGTTACCATTTTATAGAAATCATCCCAATTAATTTGTAACACAATTTTCAAGCCCCAAACGAAAATTATCCAAATATGTCTTAACAGATCAATTTATGCACATACATATGTTTCGTTTATCATTATATTTTTATATATAATTTTGTTACCATTTTATACAAATCATCCCAATTAATTTGTAAGACAATTTCCAAGTCCCAAACGAAATTCATCCAAATATAAGTCTCAACAAATCAATTTATGCAAATACATATTTTCTATTTATCGTTATATTTTTATACATAATATCCTTAGTAGTTTATTTGTCGTCTTTATATTTTGATTTATTTTTTTGGTAATTATTTTTCCAAAGTAAGTAATTTTTCTCTTCTTCTCATAAATTGAACCATTTTCTTTCTAACGTGCTTTCTACCTAGTGTCATGGACTGAACAATAATTCACGTCCTAATAAAGTAGTTGTATGCATAGGTTTTGTAATTATTTTTATTCTATTTATTTGTCATCAAATACATATTTTACTTGTAATTATTTTTATGGTAATTATTTTTCCATAGTAATTAGTTTATCTCCTCTTCTCATGAATTGAACCACAAGTATTCTAACCTGATTTGAACCTAATTTCACGAACCGAACTGCATGTCACGTGGGAATAATCTACTCAAAACTGAATTACTGTCAAACTTCATTTATTTCATCCAAACAAATTAATTGCATTTAAGAAACGTCCTCCCTCCATGCCGGATTGCACTTAATTTTTTAAATGCAACTTATTCTTCTCACACCAAACAAATTAACATGGTAATAATATGTGATCCACATTCACCTGGTTTTTACTATAAATAGCACGACCATGGACCTAAAACCACCAGAGCTTCCAAATGTGTCATCAAGGCATCACGCCCAAAGTAGTTCTGCCTCACGAGGTCCCCGCAGAAGAAGAAGAGTGAACCCTCCTCCTCCTCTAGTGAACCCTCCTCGTCCTCCTCCTCCTCCTCCAGCACCCGTTCATTTTGCCCCTAATCCAGAGTACTTACTCATGAGGGTCAATAACCTATCGATTGAAGTGAATCAGCTGTGGCGATTATGCCGCGCCATGAGACGAAGGATCCACTGCTGGAAAGGGATTTCCAGGACGATTCTGACTCTGCGATAGTGGAGGTGTTGGGGGAAGCAAATGACTCCAACGCCTCCTAACCCAAATATTGATCATTCTGTGCTTGTTCTGTGCTTCTCTCATGGTGCTCTCTGTGTGTGATATTCTGCTTAGTTTATGTATGTATAACATGTACCATGTGTAGTATATCCCAATTTTTGGTCAATCTGTGGTTGTTCTGTGGTTCGCTCATGGTGGTATCGTCATTTTATGGTTATGGGGTAGATGGTTGTTTGTTTTATTGGGCTCCCTGAGCCAGGCAGGTGTTTTGGTTTAGGTTGTTTTATACTTCTTCGGATATGTAAGACAAATATAAATCGGCAGTAATGGTTAAGTTACATATTATATGAAGTGTTAACTCTTTCATTATGGGTGATACTTTATATTTCATTATGCATGATACTTTCAGAACATCAGTTTACGATAATATTCTTATTTTCTGAATTGTGTGAATCATAATCTGTTTTTTTTTTTATGAGAGAGAATTACGTAGAATGGGTAATGAATTGGTGTCAGTGTGGCTACATATTTAGACGGTTAGATTTAACTTGTATTCAAATCGGACTCCTCTCAAAAAAACATTAAAGATTGAATGACTCTTTTGGAGATAAAGCTGCAAAATATGATTGATGACATGGTTCACCGAGATGTAATGGTTTTTTACCATTAAATTATTGGTTTTTTATCATGCATTCCAAGATTTAATTTATTTAGGGAAATGCAACAACTTGGAAATACATATGTAAAATTTATCCTAATATTTTTATATTTAATATCATTACTAGTTTATAGGAAACATCGCAATAAATTTGTAAGACAATCCGAATATAACTCTGAACAGATCCATTTATTCAAATACATATATTCTATTTATCTTATAATGGGTAATGAATTGGTGTCAGTGTGGCAGTTTCCATTTAAAGGTTGGAAAAAAGGAATATATTCTTCAATTACTGTGTACAATGAATTGCGAATCAACTAGGTAATGAATTTCTGTCAGTTACCATTTAATGGAATACAATATGGCGGGTACCATTTAAAGGGAAGGGTTACCATTTAAAGCGGGGTTACTATTTGAAGGAAGGGTTACCATTTAAAGGAAGGGCTACATATTTAGACGGTTATATTTAACTTGTCTTGAAATTAGACTCCTTTTAAAAAAAATATATGTATTCAATAACTCTTATGGAGATAAAGATGGAAAATTTGATTCATGACGTTGTTGGCCAAATTGATGCCATATGTTTCAAGTCTTACCATGACAAGTATGAGTGGTGAGTTATTTGTAAAATATTGCATTTGAAGTTTTGATGCCTAGTTTTGTACCATTCCGAGATTTAATTCATTTAGGGAAATGCAACAACTTGGGAATGCACCTTGGACCACTTCATGGGAACATTATGATGTAGCAGAGCAAATACTAGCAAGTGAGGGCCCACAGCATGTAATCAGAGAGAGGCGTATCTACTTACAACATTGTTTTGAGTGTAGGAATAATGATGCAAGGTTTATAAGGGGTGTGCTACGATTTCTACCATTTTATATTAAATATTAATTTTCATAAATTAATACTTTAGAAACGTCTTAGACAAATATATGTTTGTGTGGTTGATGTAGGTTGAATGGATTGTGTACAACCAAAGCAAAGGGTTGACATTCCTGCGTAGAGGTGGACTTGAGTGTACATATGTCATGTTTATTGCGTTATTGTTTAGAGACAAAGTACATAAGAAGGCCGGAATTAATTTATTAAATGTGCTATGGACAAATAAATAACTCAGGGGACAGTTGAAAACTGCGCCAAAAAAAATGCTTACAGTGATTCAAATGGGGAAATGCTGCAATAGTCGATTCTTTGAACATATCCCTCAATGCTGTGAAGAAGGCAACCACATGAACTGGTGATGCTGGATTCTTAACGAAGAAGTCATTATTTGCCATCGTTGTTGGTGTGATTTCAATGTCATGGTGTTGCAAGGAAAGTTTTCAAGTAATTATATAGAATCA